TACAATGTCTCAAACTAGGACTACAGACTATACAACTATTGGCCCTGATGAGATACACAATACAATGTCTCAAACTAGGACTACAGACTATACAACTATTGGCCCTGATGAGATACACAATACAATGTCTCAAACTAGGACTACAGACTATACAACTATTGGCCCTGATGAGATACACAATACAATGTCTCAAACTAGGACTACAGACTATACAACTATTGGCCCTGATGAGATACACAATACAATGTCTCAAACTAGGACTACAGACTATACAACTATTGGCCCTGATGAGATACACAATACAATGTCTCAAACTAGGACTACAGACTATACAACTATTGGCCCTGATGAGATACACAATACAATGTCTCAAACTAGGACTACAGACTATACAACTATTGGCCCTGATGAGATACACAATACAATGTCTCAAACTAGGACTACAGACTATACAACTATTGGCCCTGATGAGATACACAATACAATGTCTCAAACTAGGACTACAGACTATACAACTATTGGCCCTGATGAGATACACAATACAATGTCTCAAACTAGGACTACAGACTATACAACTATTGGCCCTGATGAGATACACAATACAATGTCTCAAACTAGGACTACAGACTATACAACTATTGGCCCTGATGAGATACACAATACAATGTCTCAAACTAGGACTACAGACTATACAACTATTGGCCCTGATGAGATACACAATACAATGTATCAAACTAGGACTACAGACTATACAACTATTGGCCCTGATGAGATACACAATACAATGTATCAAACTAGGACTACAGACTATACAACTATTGGCCCTGATGAGATACACAATACAATGTATCAAACTAGGACTACAGACTATACAACTATTGGCCCTGATGAGATACACAATACAATGTATCAAACTAGGACTACAGACTATACAACTATTGGCCCTGATGAGATACACAATACAATGTATCAAACTAGGACTACAGACTATACAACTATTGGCCCTGATGAGATACACAATACAATGTATCAAACTAGGACTACAGACTATACAACTATTGGCCCTGATGAGATACACAATACAATGTATCAAACTAGGACTACAGACTATACAACTATTGGCCCTGATGAGATACACAATACAATGTATCAAACTAGGACTACAGACTATACAACTATTGGCCCTGATGAGATACACAATACAATGTATCAAACTAGGACTACAGACTATACAACTATTGGCCCTGATGAGATACACAATACAATGTATCAAACTAGGACTACAGACTATACAACTATTGGCCCTGATGAGATACACAATACAATGTATCAAACTAGGACTACAGACTATACAACTATTGGCCCTGATGAGATACACAATACAATGTATCAAACTAGGACTACAGACTATACAACTATTGGCCCTGATGAGATACACAATACAATGTATCAAACTAGGACTACAGACTATACAACTATTGGCCCTGATGAGATACACAATACAATGTATCAAACTAGGACTACAGACTATACAACTATTGGCCCTGATGAGATACACAATACAATGTATCAAACTAGGACTACAGACTATACAACTATTGGCCCTGATGAGATACACAATACAATGTATCAAACTAGGACTACAGACTATACAACTATTGGCCCTGATGAGATACACAATACAATGTATCAAACTAGGACTACAGACTATACAACTATTGGCCCTGATGAGATACACAATACAATGTATCAAACTAGGACTACAGACTATACAACTATTGGCCCTGATGAGATACACAATACAATGTATCAAACTAGGACTACAGACTATACAACTATTGGCCCTGATGAGATACACAATACAATGTATCAAACTAGGACTACAGACTATACAACTATTGGCCCTGATGAGATACACAATACAATGTATCAAACTAGGACTACAGACTATACAACTATTGGCCCTGATGAGATACACAATACAATGTATCAAACTAGGACTACAGACTATACAACTATTGGCCCTGATGAGATACACAATACAATGTATCAAACTAGGACTACAGACTATACAACTATTGGCCCTGATGAGATACACAATACAATGTATCAAACTAGGACTACAGACTATACAACTATTGGCCCTGATGAGATACACAATACAATGTATCAAACTAGGACTACAGACTATACAACTATTGGCCCTGATGAGATACACAATACAATGTATCAAACTAGGACTACAGACTATACGACTATTGGCCCTGATGAGATACACAATACAATGTCTCAAACTAGGACTACAGACTATACAACTATTGGCCCTGATGAGATACACAATACAATGTATCAAACTAGGACTACAGACTATACAACTATTGGCCCTGATGAGATACACAATACAATGTATCAAACTAGGACTACAGACTATACAACTATTGGCCCTGATGAGATACACAATACAATGTATCAAACTAGGACTACAGACTATACAACTATTGGCCCTGATGAGATACACAATACAATGTATCAAACTAGGACTACAGACTATACAACTATTGGCCCTGATGAGATACACAATACAATGTATCAAACTAGGACTACAGACTATACAACTATTGGCCCTGATGAGATACACAATACAATGTATCAAACTAGGACTACAGACTATACAACTATTGGCCCTGATGAGATACACAATACAATGTATCAAACTAGGACTACAGACTATACAACTATTGGCCCTGATGAGATACACAATACAATGTATCAAACTAGGACTACAGACTATACAACTATTGGCCCTGATGAGATACACAATACAATGTATCAAACTAGGACTACAGACTATACAACTATTGGCCCTGATGAGATACACAATACAATGTATCAAACTAGGACTACAGACTATACAACTATTGGCCCTGATGAGATACACAATACAATGTATCAAACTAGGACTACAGACTATACAACTATTGGCCCTGATGAGATACACAATACAATGTATCAAACTAGGACTACAGACTATACAACTATTGGCCCTGATGAGATACACAATACAATGTATCAAACTAGGACTACAGACTATACAACTATTGGCCCTGATGAGATACACAATACAATGTATCAAACTAGGACTACAGACTATACAACTATTGGCCCTGATGAGATACACAATACAATGTATCAAACTAGGACTACAGACTATACAACTATTGGCCCTGATGAGATACACAATACAATGTATCAAACTAGGACTACAGACTATACAACTATTGGCCCTGATGAGATACACAATACAATGTATCAAACTAGGACTACAGACTATACAACTATTGGCCCTGATGAGATACACAATACAATGTATCAAACTAGGACTACAGACTATACAACTATTGGCCCTGATGAGATACACAATACAATGTATCAAACTAGGACTACAGACTATACAACTATTGGCCCTGATGAGATACACAATACAATGTATCAAACTAGGACTACAGACTATACAACTATTGGCCCTGATGAGATACACAATACAATGTATCAAACTAGGACTACAGACTATACAACTATTGGCCCTGATGAGATACACAATACAATGTATCAAACTAGGACTACAGACTATACAACTATTGGCCCTGATGAGATACACAATACAATGTATCAAACTAGGACTACAGACTATACAACTATTGGCCCTGATGAGATACACAATACAATGTATCAAACTAGGACTACAGACTATACAACTATTGGCCCTGATGAGATACACAATACAATGTATCAAACTAGGACTACAGACTATACAACTATTGGCCCTGATGAGATACACAATACAATGTATCAAACTAGGACTACAGACTATACAACTATTGGCCCTGATGAGATACACAATACAATGTATCAAACTAGGACTACAGACTATACAACTATTGGCCCTGATGAGATACACAATACAATGTATCAAACTAGGACTACAGACTATACAACTATTGGCCCTGATGAGATACACAATACAATGTATCAAACTAGGACTACAGACTATACAACTATTGGCCCTGATGAGATACACAATACAATGTATCAAACTAGGACTACAGACTATACAACTATTGGCCCTGATGAGATACACAATACAATGTATCAAACTAGGACTACAGACTATACAACTATTGGCCCTGATGAGATACACAATACAATGTCTCAAACTAGGACTACAGACTATACAACTATTGGCCCTGATGAGATACACAATACAATGTATCAATCTAGGACCTGCAGACTATACGACTATTGGCCCTGATGAGATACACAATACAATGTCTCAAACTAGGACTACATACTATACAACTATTGGCCCTGATGAGGTACACAATACAATGTCTCAAACTAGGACTACATACTATACAACTATTGGCCCTGATGGGATACACAATACAATGTCTCAAACTAGGACTACAGACTATACGACTATTGGTCCTTATGAGATACACAATACAATGTATCAAACTAGGACCTACAGATTATACGACTATTGGCCCTGATGAGATACACAATACAATGTCTCAAACTAGGACTATAGACTATACGACTATTGGCCCTGATGAGATACACAATACAATGTCTCAAAGTAGGACCTACAGACTATACGACTATAGATTCCATGTGACGTAATGTTAATGAGCATTACACTGTGTGTGAAGTGTTTAAAAATACCAAGTTTTATTTGAAATCACTCTTACTTTACATCTATTTTGTAAAAAAAGTCTAATGTGGTATGTGTGGTTGGAAATAATTTAAATTAATATAAACAAGAAGGGACTTGCCTGTTTCGTGCCACTGGTTTTAACTGTAGGGTTTATGTGGATACGGACATTTAATATCTCACAAAACTTCACAACACAGAGATTGTTTTCAAACCCGTATCAAGGTCCTTAGTTTAAGATGGTTGCCTGCATGAACAAAATTCAAAGCTTCATGTATTGTAACATTTATTGACTGACTAAACTCTGTAAAAACTTGAACATATTTGACATTTCAACCGTTTACCCGGCCCTCTGCCTGACCAAGTTGTCTCACAACCACCAGGAAACATACAAGGAAAACACGTGCATATGCATTATTTTACCAGTGTGGATGAATTCATAAAGGTTCAAGAAAAATACCATGTGTTCTAGTTCAAATATATATATAATTTTTAAAGTTATAATACCGGATTGTTGTTGAGTTTGTGTTCCGAATGGAACAATTATACTATATTGGTATACCGCACATTCGGATCACCTCTCTATTTTGTGTTCAGCTGTCGACACATTTGTTTCCGGTACACTCAGCTTTTCAACTCAACTGCTAATTAACTAGTTTAATACTGCATGTTATTGAAGGTCTATAAAAAGGGTACTTAAGTATCATTCTTTTTTAAAATATTTTGATTGTTCGTGGACATTCGTTTTTAAGATTAAATTTTGAAAAACATGAGGAAGACATTGCACATGTGTGGTACGGTCCTGGTCAATTCGACTGCACTCTGTGCTGAAAACGTGCCGCTATAATCCTGTTCATCAACGATATAACGTCCTTACTCATCTAGGTATACTGACCCGTCAGTCTATTTTCTTTTCAACTTCCACCTATTTTGTGGCGTCGTGGCCAATTGAAGAACGACTCTCTGCCCTCCGTCGTGCTCGACACGGCTTTCTATATTATTTGTTCACGTTGCGCTTTGGTAGTATATAACACAAATTCTGATGAAACTTGTCCAGGAAATGTTTGTTATAATGAGTAGGTCATCATGATAATGAAAACATCGCAAAATGTAACAGATGTTTTATATTTTATGTAAAAAAGATAACGTAACATTTCGATCAACAATAATTGTGTACATTTTACCGTTTCGTAACGATACTTTTTATCTTAATATATTATTATTTTGATTTCTTTTTTAAGTGCTGCTCTCTTCATCAGACTCCTTCCTACGGCACTGGTCATCGTGTTCCGAGCCGGGACGTTTATACGGGACTGGTCCTGAATTAGATGAATAGTCTCCTTCCGATCTTGAACGCATCAGTACGCGTGGTTTATTATATTTTCACGTTGCGCTTTGGTAGTATATAACACAAATTCTGATGACACTTCTCCAGGAAATGTTTGTTATAATGAGTAGATGATCATGATAATGAAAACATCGTGAAATGTCACAGATATTTTATATGTTATGGGAAAAACGTTTTGTAACATTACTATCAACAATAATTGTGTAAATGTTACCGTTTCGAAACGATATATTTTTTTTCTTTTTAACTACTGGTCTCTTCATCAGACTCCTTCCTTCTGCACCGATCATCGTGTTCCGAGCCGGAACGTCTGTACGGGACTGGTCCTGAATTAGATAGGTTGTCTCTTTCAGATCTTGAACGCATTAATACTGGTGGTGTCTGAATGTCCTCGAGCTCAGAAGAATTTTCAACTTTCGGTCTTGGACATATTTCAGGTATTACTTGAAGATTGTCAATGGCAAGCGAAATTGAAGTCACTGACGTAGCTGTAAACAAGTTGAATATTAATATTCGAAACAAACTGTAATTTAAAAAAAACTGTATTCGTTAATCTTCTTTAAATTGTTAATCATAATTATATGGAAACCATATTTACGAGATATTTACAAAGGCCTGTCAAAATATGACTCAATGATTAAAGTTTGATATAAGGGAACAATGCCATGACATAGATGTATCTTAAGTGTTTCTAGAAAATAAAAATACTTTTACATTTGAGCGATAAATACTTACGATTGATAACTGCAGAATCCACTGACTCTGTGTAGCCACTATCTGCCCTTGACCTTGTACCTACACACAGAATTGGTAGCATGTAGTGTTAGAAAGAAGTAAAGTATCAATTATGGTAATGATATGTTTATCGCAACTAGCACTGTTTACCGTTAAAGATATATTCTAAAGGAAATCTCCATTTCGTACGTTTCATATACATATACTCTAATAACGAAGTTGCCTTATGTTACTTATCATGAAGGTATCTGTGTAGTGACGAAAACACAACACACGTATCGACCTATGTAAGTAGATACAATGCCGTCTTTATCAAATTATCCAACCTAATGAATATCCGTTTTTTTTTGTCACAGTATGTGTGTTCAAAACACGGTTAATGCTTGACTTCCTGGCGTTTTCTGTGGTGTTCTGGTGTATTTTGTCTTGTGTAATGGTGTGTCTGCTTTTCATTTTGTTTCTTCCGACACGCGTCGTCATACATCTTCGAAATGTTGATAATATAATAAACCTTAACCAGCAAACACAGTAACGATTTAGTTAGGGGGTGAAGCAATGTACTTACGGCCTTTAATATTTCGTAATGGCTCGTCATTTGTGCTTGCAGGAATCTGTCCCAGTAAGGGTTCAAGTAAAGTTTTCGCATTGGTTAAACTGTGTTCAGCTTTTTCTAAAAGCGATAATATGTTCCTCAACTGTTCCCCAACAGAAACATTTTCACTTGCCATCGTCTTACTCCTTAACCCTTTTGGCTGTTGCGAGTTGTTATCAGGTGGAAACGAGCAGCTTTACCTAAAAACATACATTGGATGACGTCAGCAGAAAATACGTGTTTCAGACATTTTGAGGTTTAGTAAGGTTTTAATTGAGGCCAGTGAAGTTTGAGCTGTATGAGTTAACCTTATAAACTATAATGGATGTTTAAGAATTGTTTTTCAGTTTTTGACGTTAATTAAAGTGTAGAATACAGTAGGTGTTTGTTTTGACGTTTATTGAAGTGTAACATACATTAGGTGATTAATGAAGTGTAACATACATCAAAATAAACACCTAATGCATGTTACACTTCAACAAACATCAAAATTAACACCGAATGTATGTTACACTTCATTAATCACCTAATGTATGTAACACTTCAATAAAAGTCAAAATAAACACCTACTGTATGTTACACTTTAATAAACATCGACAAAAACGCCTAATGTATGTTACATTTCAATAAATGTCAAAATAGCAACCTAATGTATGTTACAGTTCAATAATCACCTAATGAATGTTACACTTCAATAATCACCTAATGTACGTTACACTTTAATAAACATCGACAAAAACGCCTAATGTATGTTACATTTCAATAAATGTCAAAATAGCAACCTAATGTATGTTACACTTGAATAAACATCAAAATAAACTCCTAATGTATGTTACACCTCAACAAACGTCAAAATTAACACCTAATGGATGTTACACTTCAACAAACGTCCAAATAAACACCTAATGTTTGTTACACTTCAACAAACATCAAAATTAACACCTAATGGATGTTACACTTCAACAAACGCCAAAATAAACACCTAATGTTTGTTACACTTCAATAAAAATCAAAATAAACACCTACTGTATGTTACTCTTCAACAAACATCAAAATAAACAGCTACTGTATGTTACACTTTAATAAACATCAAAATAATCACCTACTGTATGTTACACTTCAATCAACGTCAAAATAAACACATAATGTATGTTACACTTTAATAAACATCGACAAAAACGCCTAATGTATGTTACACTTGAATAAACATCAAAATAATCACCTACTGTATGTTACTCTTCAACAAACATCAAAATAAAAACCAAATGTATGTTACACTTCGACAAACAACAAAACAAACACCTAATGTATGCTACACTTCAATAAACGTCAAAATAATCAGCTAATGTATGTTACACTTGAATAAACATCAAAATAAACAGCTACTGTATGTTACACTTTAATAAACATCGACAAAAACGCCTAATGTATGTTACATTTCAATAAATGTCAAAATAGCAACCTAATGTATGTTACAGTTCAATAATCACCTAATGTACGTTACACTTTAATAAACATCAAAATAATCACCTACTGTATGTTACTCTTCAACAAACATCAAAATTAACACCGAATGTATGTTACACTTCAATCAACGTCAAAATAAACACCTAAGGTATGTTACACTTCAACAAACAGTAGGTGTTTATTTTGACGTTGATTGAAGTGTAACATACATCAGGTGTTTATTTTGATGTTTGTTGAAGTAGAATTGTTTTTCAGTTTTTGACGTTAATTAAAGTGTAGAATACAGTAGGTGTTTGATTTGACGTTTATTGAAGTGTAACATTCATTAGGTGATTATTGAAGTGTAACATTCATTAGGTGATTATTGAAGTGTAACATTCATTAGGTGATTATTGAAGTGTAACATTCATTAGGTGATTATTGAACTGTAACATACATTAGGTGTTAATTTTGATCTTTGTTGAAGTGTAACATTCATTAGGTGTTTATTTTGACGTTTCTTGAAGTGTAACATACATCAAAATAAACACCTACTGTTTGTTGAAGTGTAACATTCATTAGGTGATTATTGAACTGTAACATACATTAGGTTGCTATTTTGACATTTATTAAAGTGCAACATACATTAGGTGTCTATTTTGATGTTTGTTGAAGTAGAATTGTTTTTCAGTTTTTGACGGTAATTAAAGTGTAGAATACAGTAGGTGTTTGTTTTCACGTTTATTGAAGTGTAGCATACATTAGGTGTTTGTTTTGACGTGTATTGAAGTGTATGATACATTAGGTGTTTGTTTTGACGTGTATTGAAGTGTATGATACATTAGGTGTTTGTTTTGACGGTTATTGAAGTGTAACATTCATTAGGTGTTAATTTTGACGTTTGTTGAAGTGTAACATACATTAGGTGTTTATTTTGTTGTTTGTTGAAGTGTAACATACATTAGGTGTTAATTTTGATGTTTGTTGAAGTGTAACATACAGTAGGTGTTTATTTTGATGTTTGTTGAAGTGTAACATACATTAGGTGTTTATTTTGACGTTTATTAAAGTGTAACATACAGTAGGTGATTATTTTGATGTTTATTAAAGTGTAACATACATTAGGTGGCTATTCTGATGTTTATTGAAGTGCAACATACATTAGGTGTTTATTTTGACGTTTATTGAAGTGTAACATACATTAGGTGATAATTTTGATGTTTATTGAAGTGCAACATACATTAGGTGTTTATTTTGATGTTTGTTAAAGTGTAACATACATTAGGTGATTATTTTGACTTTTATTGAAGTGTTACATACATTAGGTGATTATTTTGATGTTTATTGAAGTGCAACATACATTAGGTGTTTATTTTGATGTTTATTGAAGTGCAACATACATTAGGTGTTTATTTTGTTGTTTGTTGAAGTGTAACATACATTCGGTGTTAATTTTGATGTTTGTTGAAGTGTAACATACCTTAGGTGTTTATTTTGACGTTTATTAAAGTGTAACATACATTAGGTGTTTATTTTGTTTTTTGTTGAAGTGTAACATACATTAGGTGTTTAGTTTGACGTTTGTTGAAGTGTAACATACATTAGGTATTAATTTTGACGTTTATTAAAGTGTAACATACATTAGGTGTTTATTTTGACGTTGATTGAAGTGTAACATACATTAGGTGGCTATTATATCACATACATTAGGTGGCTATTTTGACATTTATTGAAATGTAACATACATTAGGTGTTTATTTTGACTTTTATTAAAGTGTAACATACATTAGGTGGCTATTCTGATGTTTATTGAAGTGTAACATACATTAGGTGATAATTTTGATGTTTATTGAAGTGCAACATACATTAGGTGTTTATTTTGACGTTTATTAAAGTGTAACGTACATTAGGTGATTATTTTGATGTTTGTTGAAGTGTAACATTCATTAGGTGTTTATTTTGACGTTTGTTGAGGTGTAACATACATTAGGTGTTTATTTTGTTGTTTGTTGAAGTGTAACATACATTAGGTGATTATTTTGACTTTTATTGAAGTGTTACATACATTAGGTGATTATTTTGATGTTTATTGAAGTGCAACATACATTAGGTGTTTATTTTGTTGTTTGTTGAAGTGTAACATACATTAGGTGTTTAGTTTGACGTTTGTTGAAGTGTAACATACATTAGGTATTAATTTTGACGTTTATTAAAGTGTAACATACAGTAGGTGATTATTTTGATGTTTATTAAAGTGTAACATACATTAGGTGTTTATTTTGACGTTTGTTGAGGTGTAACATACATTAGGTGTTTATTTTGTTTTTTGTTGAAGTGTAACATACATTAGGTGTTTATTTTGACGTTTATTGAAGTGCAACATACATTAGGTGTTTATTTTGACGTTGATTGAAGTGTAACATACATTAGGTGGCTATTATATCACATACATTAGGTGGCTATTTTGACATTTATTGAAATGTAACATACATTAGGTGTTTATTTTGACGTTTATTGAAGTGCAACATACATTAGGTGTTTATTTTGACGTTGATTGAAGTGTAACATACATTAGGTGGCTATTATATCACATACATTAGGTGGCTATTTTGACATTTATTGAAATGTAACATACATTAGGTGTTTATTTTGATGTTTGTTGAAGTGTAACATTCATTAGGTGTTAATTTTGATGTTTGTTGAAGAGTAACATACAGTAGGTGTTTATTTTGATGTTTGTTGAAGTGTAACATACCTTAGGTGTTTATTTTGACGTTTATTAAAGTGTAACGTACATTAGGTGATTATTTTGATGTTTGTTGAAGTGTAACATACATTAGGTGTTTAGTTTGACGTTTGTTGAAGTGTAACATACATTAGGTGTTTAGTTTGACGTTTGTTGAAGTGTAACATACATTAGGTATTAATTTTGACGTTTATTAAAGTGTAACATACAGTAGGTGATTATTTTGATGTTTATTAAAGTGTAACATACATTAGGTGTTTATTTTGACTTTTATTGAAGTGTAACATACATTAGGTGTTTATTTTGTTTTTTGTTGAAGTGTAACATACATTAGGTGTTTAGTTTGACGTTTGTTGAAGTGTAACATACATTAGGTGTTTATTTTGTTGTTTGTTGAAGTGTAACATTCATTAGGTGTTTATTTTGACGTTTGTTGAGGTGTAACATACATTAGGTGTTTATTTTGTTGTTTGTTGAAGTGTAACATACATTCGGTGTTAATTTTGATGTTTGTTGAAGTGTAACATACAGTAGCTGTTTATTTTGATGTTTGTTGAAGTGTAACATACCTTAGGTGTTTATTTTGACGTTTATTAAAGTGTAACATACATTAGGTGTTTATTTTGTTTTTTGTTGAAGTGTAACATACATTAGGTGTTTATTTTGACGTTTATTGAAGTGCAACATACATTAGGTGTTTATTTTGACGTTTATTGAAGTGTAACATACATTAGGTGTTTGTTTTGATGTTTATTGAAGTGTAACATACATTAGGTGGCTATTATATCACTTTGAGATAACTCTTATATAATGTTTTAAATGAAAAAAAAAAATAAGAAAAAAAATCTTAGTAAATCATCTAAATGACCTGCTATTAGTTGTTTTGAGGTTTCAAAAAATAAAAAGAATCACAATAGATATGTAGCATGATCTATGCTTTATACTTTCAAAATTATCATGGCAAGTGCTTTTAATCGCTTTATATTTATGTTTGGTGTACAAGAGAGAGACACTTGGTTAATTTAGATTAGACAGGGATACATTTAAACCAGTTGGTGCCATATTAAATCTACTTCAACAATACAATGACTTGATCCAACGAACTACCGAAATAAAGACAGAAAAACTCCACCCTTAAAATTTTAATGATCATCATATTTTCGATGAAGAATGTCCCGTAGAACCTTTTTGCACTTTGGACTTATTATACAAATAATCAAAGAATAGAATATGAATTAAGAAAGAAAATACTAGCATAATTTTTCAGATACTTTGAAAAAGAAATATTTGTCAGAAAATCTGTTTGTATAGACTTTTCGGTATACATAAGGCGTGATACCTGCAAGATTACACAAAAAGCAAATTCGTTGACTAAGATATACAATCAAAACAGTAAAAAGAGCAATCACTCATCCTACCAAAAAAGGTATAAAAGTAAATTCAAAATGGAAGAAAAATATAATTATCTTTACTTTTGCATAAACAAAAAACGTATCTAGACACTTGACCGATCCATCTATCCATCCATCCAACCATCCATCCATCCATCCATATTTGAAAAACTTACCACTGATATCCGAATTAGCTGAACCTTGTTGACGGCTATTTGGAGCAATTTGTTTGGCGCTTGCTTCTACATCGAAATACGTCAAGATAAGTTGTTTCCCTCAATAGAGATTAATCCAAAATATTCCCTTGATAAATTTCCTTACCTTAAAATACCTTTGCATAGTGTATTGGGTTTTTCTTATGAAATAGTTTGTTTATTTTCTTCCTTTATCGTGGTGATAAACTTGAAACCTTAAACGTAACTTCCTTGTCTAAAAGTTTGAAAGAAAGAAACGTCGGCTTATTATACATTTTGAAGAAGATTAAGATTGGTAAGATTCATTTGTAGCCGAATGTTTTGATTGGTTCCTTATTGATAGAGAACTAATCACTGTTTGCAGACACTCAGGATCTACAAAGTTTGTACTACTTACTTGAATCCCGTAATATCACATTGAAATTTACATTGCGTGATTAATAAACTTATCCTACACCTATAAGGTAAACAGGAAGCGTCTCTATTTCACATCTATTTCTATTTGTCAGCAAAGCTGCTAAATATTCACTTAATTTTACTTTGACATATTAAGGGATGCAAACATTTTGTGTTATAATTTGATTGGTTAGAGTATTACGTTTTCAGATATTACTACCTAGATCAGGAACAAACGAACCAAACATGAAAAATGATGATTAGATATGCTATCAAAACCTATCGCGGAAAAGTATTGGGACAATGTATTGGTTTATCCAAACTTTTATTTCTGACTTTCTACAATATTGTAATGCGGGATAAAATAAAGAATAATTTTGAAATATATATTAAAACCAATTATTAAAACCTAAAGCTATGCCACTCCAATTTTTTAAAGACGTTATTTGTCTGTGAACAGTCAAGGTTTTTGTGAGTGTTAAAGTACCATTTTCGTATACTTAACAGTAACGCTAGTGTATTAACACCCTTATATAGAATGATGGTATACGATCATTATAGCTTTACAAAACAGATGTCACTCAGTAACAATTAATGTGTTTATTTCTTTTGTCTTCAAAAAATCTTTTAATGAAGCATACACATCATTAAGATATTAGTAGTAAGTGTGATAAATCGTATAAAAAATGTCAAATGTCCTTTATCTTAACACAGAAATATACATTATAATTAGCCCTGGTGCATTTAATTTCATAGATTTGTAATCAAACGTAGTTTTAATGGTGTTTTGAAAAGGCTCTATTGTAAACTAAGGTATTGCTGCAATACATTCTAAATGCTGGCCTACAACTCTATATTTAAGGTTGGTTATATTTTCTTTACGCCATCGTCCACACTGGTTCTTGAAAACGCGTTTGAATACCGAGAACTCGAACTTGGCATTTTAAATAATTAAAGTTGAAAAGATATTATGTCATCGTTTGTTAAATCGACATTGGAATGTGAAATCGTTTTCCAATTTTTCAAGATTTGAACAGTGCAAATAAAACTTTTTATGTTTGAAATAACTTATAGCACATATCATAATATAATCAATCGAAATCATAACTTATCAGACATGCATAAATGTGTTATATTAAACAGACAGACACAAATTCTACTTACCTGTTGAAAGGGCCGCTGTTTGCTATTGAATAAGGTCAAGGAAGAAATGTACTATTTTTCTTCCCGTATTTTAATAAATAATTACCTTTCGAGAAATCCTTGTAATACTTAAATGCAGTCGTGTTTCATTGATTTTTTTATTCAGAGGTGAATATATGTTCTTATCTAATAATACACATGAAGTCACGATGATTCATATCAGCACAATACCAGAACTTCTCTAATATCTTCCTCCTTCTAAAAGCTGCACAATATGAATATGAACAACAAGATAAACTTTAACTTATTAAAATAGGATTTTCTTAAATACTCTGTAACATATAGATATGCAGCAAAAAATAAATTGAAGAGCTTTCAAAACATTATCCATCCTTTCATGTTTGGTAAAGAAACATTTCCCTTCTTAATTTCATATATATGCTGTACATCCAGGTGTTGTTGCTGTTCTGTTGATTATATTATCTTTACAGATTACCAATATGTCCATGCTGCTCCAAGGGAAAGGGAAAGCACATATCAAACAAAGCAAACAAGGGTCTGTTTGTGGTTTTCATGAATTTTTAATGTTCTCCTTGAAGATAATCCGGTTTTTGCAGAAAAAACGTTGTGATAGATGTTATGGTGTTTTTACTCATTTACATTTAAATGTATGGAATTGGCATCTTGACAAATGCCAAAGGAAATCTCGTTTCTGATATCCAATATATCGACCATCATGACAAACAAAGCTCATCTTTATTTATTTGATACGAAAATATATCTGTATATTTCATTTTCTTCAGATAACTGTATGATTGAATATTTCTAAGGCTAGATCGCCAATACATTTATTGAAGTGAAAAAAAGAATAAGAAGTATGATTAAATATTAAGAGTATATACATTCTACACTGGTATGCATTCAATAACCCTTGTTGCTGTCACTTTTACTATAGATAATGACAAGTTCCCATGACGTTGACAACAAAACACGAAGGCAGACGTCAGCAACAGTAGATGCTGGTTTAGATGGCTTCACTGGATACTTATCAACTCATCACCAAACCAAAAAAAGGAAAGTATTCCTCAAATAGGAAAACAGAGTACAAGACCACTTTTTGAATGAAGACCATTCGATGATTACGAAAACCCAATTGATATTTTCTGCCAAACTCTTTACTAGAGAGTCTCCGAAAAAAGTTCTTCGTCCTGAGCTTAAATAACACCAACTAACATGAATTGTGCATCTTTCGGCCACGAAGTTCCCATAAATCAAGCATGGTAGGAAATTCGTACACGTTGAATACATTGGCCTACGTTTTGGCCACCAGCAACATTTATATAAGACTCTCATGAACAGTGTAACGCCTAAATTATTTCACAAGCGTTCAATTGAACACCAAAACAAAACAAACTCCCTAGTCTCACCAAAACACAGGATGAGAGCTAGGAAGAAGTATATTATTGTCATCATATCTATAATAATATATTGCTTTTCCCAGAACTGCTTGCAGTATTGCTTAGTCTACTACATACATTCTTTGTTTACTTATTATATTATGTGTGATTTAACGAGAATGTCCTTATTTATTTGTTCGTATTCCATGTAAACATGCAGTTAAAACGCAAAAAAACAACACCCACCAATTATCAGAACAATATATTTGATCATCAATAGGGTTTGATTTCGAATGATAACACATTCAACATATATATACATGTAGGAACACCATCTAACTTTTCCCATCTTCAATTTGTTTCCTTGTGTTTTACGTCATGTTAACAGCTATTGTCATTAAAGGACGTGCCAGGTTTTGGTGGTGGATGAAAGCAGGAGTTCCCGGAATAAAACCAACGACCTGCGGCCAATACCTGGCGACTTCCCCATGTAGATATTGCTTGCCTTATATTGCTTAGTCTATTATATACATTCTTTGTTTTCTTATTATTTATTGTATGATTTAACGAGGATGTCCTTAATTATGTGTTCGTATTCAAAACAATACTAAGAAGGAAGCAGTAGATTCGGCATCCTATGTAGGTCAGCTGCAGGGCCGTATGGAGTTTTCGTACGAGAGAGCTCGTCGCACTGCCTCCTGGTAAGAAAAACCCGCCTTAATGGGAAAACAAATTGGCTAATAGTTGGGAACAGGAAACCTATTTGGTAACTAGTATTCCAAATAGTGATATTCACGTTTATCAGATTGAATTTGATTCCAAGAAGGGATCCAAATGAATCCTTCATAGGAACATGGTTTTCCCTTTTAATTGCGTTTTTTGGATGTTCCTTTCCTGAGGATTATAACCGTAAGGTTAAACAACCCAGAAAATCAATTCCTTCTGAACGAATAGATTCAGAGCCAACTTCCTCATCTCAGGATTCTGATTCAGGATCAGGTTCTGTGCCCCTTCCTGTTGTAATAATGCACTCTATCAGACAGAGAAACCTTTAGCCCAACAAGTCAACTAACACTATGTCAACAACTGTATCAATTGTTGGTACAGGCACACTAGAACCAGAGAGACAAGATTCTGTTCTGGAGATTGTGGATGACTCTGAAAAAGATCCATCACATAATTTCGTGAAGTTAGATCCTGGCTGTAGCAGAAACTGTCAGTGTACTGGACAAGGGTATAGACAATAGAACGACAGATATCCAACCTGTAAGTCAACGAAAGTCAAATCGGCATTCCAAGCCATCGGAGCGTTGGGGCTATCCGGTTTTCTCATTGCAAGCTGCCAATACAGAGTCTTATGAGATCTTCGTATGTGGATCGACCTACCAATTGTGAAATTTTATTTATATTTTAGTGTATTGTTTTAATGAATTATTACTTTTACTCATCGGAAGATAAATACCGGCTGGTAGGGGCTTCCCAACCGCTCGAAAGGTCCGCTGGGGGGGGGGGGGGGGGGTATTTTAAACATCAAACTGTGTTTTCAACCTCATTTTTTTCGGTAATATGGATTTCATTGTTAGATTTTCATCTCATTAAGATACAATCATAATTATATTGTACATGCTCATCAGAACTCTATCCTTCATCATAGACAAGTAGACGTATTTTTGTCAATGGTAGGTAACTGTTGAGCATAGTTTAATTAGTTCCTTCTGCTAAGATGGTTCTTATTTATTTCTGTGCTTTGTTCAAGTTGTTTGGTGTTTATGAGTCAAATATTATAAAGTCAATCATATAACCATCCATTTAAAGAACACTATTGTGTCTAGAGCAATAGTCTCTAATTATTACCCTTTATACGTGTATATATTCTGGGTAATAAATGTATGAGAAATACCAGGAGAGATTTAACAAAGTGGGGGAGTATGTAGCCAGGTGTTTAGATACAATATTCAAATCATCGCTCGTAATGCCAGTGTTAAGGAAGGTATGAATATGCACGTGCAGCACGGACCACTCGTCCATATCCCAGTCACCGCCGTCTCCTTACTTCATTCTGACCCAACCACTCGACGGTAACACACGGAACCATCGAGAGCACTATCCGATCACTTCTTACTCTGGATGTTCCTGGTAAGTATTTATGTGTGTAAGTATGAAATACTATGATATTAAACATAATAATCATTCGTCATATTTCATCATCGTATATCCATTATTTTATAGTGTGAGCGATGTGTGAGTGATTTTTTTATTTTATTTTTATTTCATAGATTTATTTGTCAACGACTATGAAGTAAACGTCTCCACATCTAATTGAAAACAATAATGACCTATGTTACATATACATTACTTATGGTTTACGTCTATACATGTACACATTTAATGCGTTTTCACCATATCTGTATTAATATTTAATATTTTCATGTTGCCATTAAAATATATATCAATGTCTAGATTCTTTCGTATCTTATATTAAGGAAAACTTTGATATGTTTGTTGTCCCCTTGAATAGGTAGGTGTTATAATAATCTAGTCCAGTGTTATACAGAAAATAAATAAAAACAACTTCCTTCTTTCCACTGACGTTCTCTCCGATGCATTTTGCCCCTGCACGTTTGTAGAAATCAACAACAGCGCAAACATTTCAAACAATAAATTGTTTTATTAGTAATTAAGAAGTATGTCTATAATAATATAAAATTAGAATTTTTACAATATATCAACTATTGTAAAATAAAAAACATGACATATTTTAACAATTCGTATAATCACAACCGTCGTGTGTTGGCGAGCCCATCCGCTGTAACGTACTTGTTATTCTTTTAATTAGTTAATCTTTTCAAAATTAAACTTTTGGAAAGACAATTTGTTCCATTTATTTGTTTTCCTAATTTTGAAATATATAACGGATATTTACAAATCTTACATTGTGTTATTTAGTACACGTCGATGGATTGTTTTAAAAAGGGTTATTGTTTTTGAGGATGAAGATGTTTTCCTTAGATGTTAGGTCAAAGGTAATACAAAAGGGTATTATAAAAAAAAACTCTGTAGCAGCACACTGTTAATAATGTAGCGTATTGGTGATAAACTGAAGCATGAGAAATCAAAATCGCTAAGAGCGACCGTTGAAAGGATTTATCTGAATTTTATTCTTTAAAAAAATGATAATATATTTCTCAAGAGGATATTTGCCTTCCAAAATTAAAGGAAAGCTCTTGGATCCAGCATGTTTTGGTATTAAATAGCGTTTTTGATGAAATCATTGCTGTAATGTATTAAAAACGAACATAACTATACCATGTATGTTCTCTTGTACTTAAATGTAAAGTTTTTCTTGCGCTTGTGATATTTACGGAAACTTCAGAGATGCACGTATACTTCAAAAGTAATCACTATTCTCTCTATAGATTTTGATACCACAAACTCTAGCAGGAATCATTATTTCAGATAACCACTTAAAACAGTCAATGATATTGCTAACACATATGTGTTTTTGTAATTATGTTACATGACGTTAATGTTGTAGGTAGTTTGAATAACTGCGATAACTACTGTTTAATGTTATCGCAATCATTTTTTTTCTGATACTGTTGAGTACTTAATTTTAGAAAATGATTGGTTCTTGCAATTGCGCTACAAATGACATGCTCGAAAGGGTTTGCATTCGCATATTAAACAAGAACAAATTCATTTAAAACGCAAATATCTCATACAATTCCTTCAGAAATAGCCCCAAATGATTTATCCCGTGAATAATTGGTTACCAGTCTTATTCAAACAATTTATAAAATATTTATTTACGAAGTTAATCTCATTGTGTATTTTGATAACGAATTTCAGCCACAAAAAAATAATATACAACAAAATGTAGCGCATTAAACAGCTGCTGCGGCTGCCAAAAATAAGACACTGTTAATATGTCCTATAAACCATGTACAGAATCATCACTTGTACCAGGGCAATCTGTCACAGGGATAACAATGATGTAGCGAAGAATAAAAAAAATTCCTGTCGAACACAACAATAACATTAAGCACTTGGTTCATCCCCTTACGTAAGTTAGCCAATGTTATGTAAGTCAACAGATATTCATGTCAAGTTAATAATATTCATATAAGACAAGAAGGTAACTGTTTTAGTATTTAAAACTTCCTTAATTAGAATAATGAATTAAAACAAATTTTCCTGTCATTTGATTCAAAACGATTGCAATCGAACATATATTTAAATATGTGAATGTTTTACTCAATGCTTTATATCAAATATTAGAAATTAGAAGTAAGGAACACCTTTTTGAAATATAGCAAGTCGGGGATATTCAATGAATTATCACATTATTATAATGATATTTTATGGATACCGGACATCCTTCGCCAGTATGAAAATTTCATAACGTTACTTTAGGATAATTACCCTGCTGGTAATTGCTATGATATGGTGTTCATTTAATTTATATAACAACATATCTCCACTTTTTTAAAACCAACATGATAACATGAGTCCAAAATATGTGAAATGTTGCGAATATTTCTAAATGTCAAAATGCATTGGATTGATAAGAGAGGAAAATTTATATTAAACTAAAGCAAAACTCTTCTTTATAAAATTGTTGTCTTTATAGACAGATTAATAAGTTTAATAAAAAAGCACTTCGGGAAGAATGACAAAGGGAATGGCCGGTGATATCTACGTCAAATTTGGCATAAGGTTTCACTCACATAGTAAAAACGTAATTACAAAAACAGTTTATATTTCATATTGCATTGTATGAAGCACCGCATAGGACATTGGTCTATTGCATGGCAAGCTGCATTTAAGGCATATCATTATGCCCATTCTTATGACCAATACAGACGTAAAAGGTAGACAATGACTCAAGTGAAAGACATGATACGTGTTGATATACGTTGAAACCAGGTGTCGCTTTCGTTACACTTTTCATTCGTATACTATCTAATTTGTTTAATCCAGGATGATTTGTTTCATAAACTCAAAAATATTTGACTGAATAAAACCTTTAGTTTAAAGGTATTTTATTCAGTTATGAAAATATTTCAAACTTCATCTTACATATAGTTTGTACTCTAAATGATTTATCTCATAGACCATGATCTCTTTCACGTATACAACATGAGATAAGAAACATACATGTATATGCTATTACCAATGAAAACGTATTCAGTCAAGCACCATGGGCTTCATGCCTGATAGAAATGACCTCAAATTTGTATTACTGATTAATTAACTTAGATTAGATTAACTTAGATTATTCTGAACGCAGACATATACATTTGCATCTATATTCAGATCACAGTCCTTCAAATGATAACTATATACATGTACTATAGTGTGTGTGACATCACTCGGGTGTTATTGTAAACATCCTGTCGCCAGTGTCCAAAACCTTATCATGTTATAATATTCGGTGATTGGACCACGTTCTCGGGTAAGGAGTTCCAGCTGCTGACTACACGCTGAGTAAACGAGTATTTACGAAGTCTAATCTACTTCTTGATTTGTCCATGCAGAATGAATGCCCTCGAGTTCTTTTGTCTTGTTAATGATGAGATATGAATGTTAACAAATGAAATAAAAAAGCAAAATAACGCAAACTTCAACATTACCGGGAAAAAACAAATCAATAAACAATTCAAATTGAAGTGGTTTAAAGGCACATGCCCGCGGGTTTGAAAACAAAGTTAAGTATCACAAAATCCTGTATGAGTAACGTAAGGACTGTGTCCCTGGCAATACATGTATAACAAAAAATAGAGCAAAACTGGCAAACCTATTTTAAGTATTCATATTTCCACTTAGTCAAATCTTGATCAGCTGACGTTTTTTTTCAAATATTCGAAGAAATGTTCACGAAAAATTGTATTTTGGTGCGTCTACATCTGTTGTTGATTGATTGTAATACAATAAGATGGATATTTGTTTTCGAAATTTTCAATAAGTCAAATACTCCAAACTAAATCGGTTGGATACATCAGACTTCAGTTTATTGTTAATTAGTTATACTTAAGTAGAGTTTCAGGTAATTTCATCCAAGCACTATCTTACGATTCCTTCGTTGAGAAAAAGTTAATATTCAACAAACTTTATATATATCAACATTTCTCATATAAATCGAAGTTCTACACATTGTTTTTACCTAACTGTGGACGGGATGGATTACATACCATCGGTGATGATTGATCCTTCCGATCAGACGAGTATAGTGTTTTTCCCACTGGGGTATAACATCAGAGATATAATGAGAACCGTTTGACTAGGCCTATCCAAGTCGACGTTCCTCATTAGCACTACAGTAGAAACAGTAAATGGCTGTATCACATCAGTTGTAATCTAATTTGATTATGTCTGTCTTTGTTGGAGACGGATACCAATATATCTATAACAACAGTTGTTGGGTGGTTCGTATAATATAATTAGGTTTCCACTAAAGCATTCACTTAAAATAGGAAACACTTAGACCATTGAATATTCTCCAAACAAACAACACCCCGTTCTCTTTATTTAAAGTCTGTATTGCATGATTTGTAATAATATTTCCAAACCCTCCTTTTGTTAGAAATATGATTTGAATGTAGCTGTATCTTCCTCATTGCGTATGGATGACATTATTATGCGCTGCTACAGGAAGCTCCCTCCTCATCGGATAAACTCTTTGGTGATGGTGACAAGTCAAAGTGCTCAGATGGAGTTGGGTAAGGACATTCTGTTTCCTGAATTGGTGGTGGAGGTTCTGGCAAAATAGAATAACTTTGGATATATCGCATGAACCGTGGTCGTACAAAATATGAAAATTACAAATTCAATTCCAAATGAATTGTTTAACTTTCTGGATACAATCGTACAATGTTAAAACCTTTAGGGTGACAGATCTACAGGTATTGAACGTATGAGATAAAATACGACTAGTGAATATCTGGTTTGGTGAAACTTGAATTAGAACGAATCTTTTTTAATCCCTATTGCCCATATACACATCATACTGTTCCACAACGTCATATTTCAAAAAGAATTGTCTCTTCGATTCTAATACTATAGGACTGTAACCTAAATGGTCTATTTCTAGTATCAGTAGCCGTGACCTTAGAAATGTTTTATCTACATATTACAGTGCATTACCACGTCAGATTTCAGAAAGAGTGCATGCTGATTCCAGAAATAGTGTGGAAAGATAGAAGGACAGACAGTGATTACTGTAGGGCACTATGCACCTGCCACATCATCCACACTCTAGGACAAGACGACAACAATGGACGATTAAGAGACAAAAAGATATGCTGCGCCTTACAAAACATCTTTGGAGAAACCAAACGTGGATATCACAAACATTTCGAATCGGCCTAAACCTGATCTCAGGTTTTATTCTCATATACTTTATTGAAACTCGGAGCCAGGTGGTCCAAAAATGTGAAAAAAACTTCCAGTATTTAAAATGATATGTTTTAATTGCATAAACAACGAATATCTATAATGCCGTGAAATTGAAAAAAATAAATTCTTGACAAGTAACTGTGATCAGAAAGCGTAGTTTTGGCCCTACCTGTTTCCAATACAGGGCAAATAAACAATACCTCTACAACACATTTGATAAACATGTTTCCGTATACCTTTAGTATTCAGTAACAAAATTGATTACGATGTTGAACTACTTACCAAGTAAAGCGGAGTCTGCGGAAACAATGCCACTGTCAACCTTTTGACCTTAAAAAATGGAAAAAAAACTATTCTTAAGATAAATACAAACGTATTTTGTTTTATTTAGAAACTATTAAACGTTATTGTATAAATGAAAACTGAATTACAAAGCGATTTAAGTTCAATTTTAAATGTGGATGCAAATCTAAAAAGTACTCACATTATTGATTCTAGCAACGATTAACAACTTTAACAAGTTTATGCAAATTCTATAACTTGCTTTCCAGTTATCGATCCACATTCCTCAAATTTCAGAAATAGTTAAACGAGATTAAGTTTATTTGTTGTGTTTATTAAAAATTGGCCAAACTTCCGTGATTGTTGTATGTTGTCATTTCTAGATACTACCATAAGTACCGGATTGGTGTGTGTTGTCATTTCTAGACACTACCATAAGTACCATATTGGTGTATGTTTTCATTTCTAGATACTACCATAGGTACCGGATTGGTGTTTGTTGTCATTTCTAGATACTACCATAAGTACCGGATTGGTGTATGTTGTCATTTCTAGATACTATCATAAGTACCGGATTGGTGTATGTTGTCATTTCTAGATACTACCATAAGTACCGGATTGGTGTTTGTTGTCATTTCTAGACACTACCATAAGTACCAGATTGGTGTATGTTGAATCATTTTGATTTTAATTCATTAAAATATCTCGTTAAAAAAATATATGATATGCGATTAAGTTATCTTTTTTAAAGAAAGATAGACAAACAAATCCTACACTGCCACATCATCCACACTCTAGGACAAGACGACAACAATGGACGATTAAGAGACAAAAAGATATGCTGCGCCTTACAAAACATCTTTGGAGAAACCAGACGTGGATATCACAAACATTTCGAATCGGCCTAAACCTGATCTCAGGTTTTATTCTCATATACTTTATTGAAACTTGGAGCCAGGTGGTCCAAAAATGTGAAAAAAAACTTCCAGTATTTAAAATAATATGTTTTAATTGCATAAACAACGAATATCTATAATGCCGTGAAATTGAAAAAAAATAATCCTTGACATGTAACTTATTAGAAAGCGTAGTTTTGGCCCTACCTGTTTCCAATGCAGGGCAAATAAACAATACATCTACAACACAATTGATAAACATGTTTCCGCATACCTTTAGTATTCAGTAACAAAACTGATTACGATGTTGAACTACTTACCAAGTAAAGCGGAGTCTGCGGGAACAATGCCACTGTCAACCTTTTTACCTTAAAAAATGAAAACAATTAACTATTCTTAAGAAAAATGCATACGTATTATGTTTTATTTAGAAACTATTAAACATTATTGTATACATGAAAACTGAATTACAAAGCGATTTAAGTTCAATTTTAAATGTGGATTCAAATCTAAAAAGTACTCACATTATTGATTCTAGCAACGATTAACAGCTTAAACAAGTTTATGTAAATTCTAAAAATTGCTCTCCAGCTATCGATCCACATTCCTCAAATTTCAGAAATAGTTATACGAGATTAAGTTTATTTGTTGTGTGTATTAAAAATTGGCCAAACTTCCGTGACATATACGACATTTACGTATGATTATTGACAATTGTCACAATCGGGATCAACTTACGTCCCCTGTGGTCACGTAATTCGTTGTCATTCTCCATTCGCTGTAGCAAAATTTCTGTCGATTTTTTCAATATTTCAATTTCGTTCTTATGCTTATATAGATTATCTAAGAAGTCAGTGTCTTCACCCTTATGCGTCGCCGCTTTTACTCTTGCATCAAAGTATTCAAACTCCTTTGTCATTTTCTTTACATCATTGAAAAAATCTTGAAGCACGATATCCGACATCTTGGTATTATATTCAGCTACGGTTCAGATGATCATTTCGGTAAAAAGTCACCATCACCTAAAATACAACAAAGAATAATTTGGTAATATTTTATTGGAAATATTGTTCTACGTCTACTAATGCTGTTAACTTGACTTGTATTTCTGTTACCTTTGTACACAAACTCGAAATGGCTTAATATACGCTGATACGTGCGTGTACTGGTCGAATGACCAAGCGTGCCCAATATCTTGTTATTTGTGTAAAAATATATGGAATGCATACGTTATTCCTTCTCACAATAAAGATATACATGTGAAGTACGTGAGTATGAAAAGAAAGATATAGCGATCAACTTCAAAACATTTTCGAAGTACAACTGTATGTCGTTTACCTTATTCTTTCTCCCTCTCTCGCTCTCTCTCTCTATATATATATAGGCAACGTAGGCAGACACTTCATTGGCTAAAATGTGTACAATAGTTTAGTACTTCCTGATTCATCGGGTAAATTCTAGTTACTTCATATGTAATATGTTTAAAAATCACAATTAGAATGTCGTAAAATTCTAAGGCTGGATAAAATGTGATAATGAAAGAGACTTTAAGTTATCTTTATCATCTGAAACCTTCCCATCACAATCATTCGGTGGATCACCAATTTGATTGTAGGATTAAGAACACAAGCCAATGTATTGCCTTTTAGTAGATATAACCCTCTGTCATCATAACAAGCACACTATATTTGTGTGATAGGCAACCCTTACATTGTTTTCTTCCATTGGTTTAGACCTTTATTTTAATGCAATCTCAATCCTCATCCCATTCGTTAAGTTATTTACTTGACTACTAGCTTATAACTTCCCCCAGTTGTTGAGACATGTATTTGACTGCTGTCTCGCAATTCCCTCTCCGTTCAGACATTTACTTAATAGTGAATCCCACAAATCCCTCTATTTAATCAGACATGGATTAAATTGTTCATCTCACAAGTTCCTCTTTTTGTAGAGACATTTAGTTGACTGTTATCCCATAACTTCAAAACTCTCACAATGTGATTTACAGCAAATCTTATGTAGTTTATTTATTGAAACATCTATGTATGGGGCCGGCTAACTAAAGGAACCATGACCTTAACGTGTCAATTTAACGACACAAATAACGTTAATATAATAATAATAATTCGAGGTTCGTATATGCCACTTTATCACAACCTAGTTCGTAGGTCATCTCAAAGCGCTTTACAAATTATTATCCGTGGTTGTAGGGCCTTTGCAACCAGACAATATCTTTCTCAACACCCTGGGGAGCATACAGCCATTTTGGCGCTCACAGCTAGCATTCTACAATTCTAGCACTGCCCAACCACGTACTCATTTACAGCTGAGTTTATCTTATATATCTTATTTACATATACGATATGTGCATAATAGATAAAGAACCTTGTATCAGTTATATAAACATGTACGAGATACATGAAACTCGAATATTTAGTTTAAGAACGCCTCGTTACAAGTTGAATATCACGTATATGAAATAGAAGCAAATGCTAACATACTAACTAATAAATACGGGGTTTTTGTATATGCGATACGACACAATTTTATATTGCTCTAACACGTATATCAGCCCTCGCCGTATCACACCCCAAAACCCGTATCAGCCTCCGCCGTGCACACCCCAAAAACCCGTATCAGCCCGCAAAACCCATATCACACCCATTTTGGAAAAAAATCGTTTTTCAATATTTCAAAAATAAAAATAAATTATAAGATAGTAGTTCTGATTAGTAAGTATGTAATAAACAGTATAAAACACGCCTTTTTCCATATCACACCCAGTAGCAACCCTCGACCAATATCAGCCCTCCGGCCTTCGGACCTTGGGCCGATATTGCAGTCTCGGGTTGAAACTGGGTGTGATATTGAAAAAGGCATGAAATATTCTCTATGTATCACGTGGTAAAGAATTGCGAATATTGCGAAAAGCATGTCAATCTGACACCCCACTATCTCAGCTCTTTATCTATAGTCACAATTAAATGGTTTTTGAATTCATATGCAGTAATGAGACATCGAATAACAAAAGAATAGCACGATCGTCATTTGATAATTTACATATACACATAATTTATTCTTGAGTTTAAAGTGGAAAATAAAGAACTTTCTGTGAAAATAAAACATTATTTTTAGGCGAGTAGAAAAGAGAAAAATCAATATATCTTGATTTGATTTATATAACCCAGCGTCCTATGTAATTATACATGTAGTACAAAAAACTCGTTATTATATGCCTTGTGTGCGCGACCCGCAGCGGTTCCCTTTGTTTACATGGATATAGCATAGCTAATGTATTTGATAATATATGTAGGAATGCGGTGTACCTGAAACCGTAACAATGATGTTTAAAGTACCTAAACTAAGTAGTATATTATTTAACGATGAAAATGATATTGTTTGTTGTTATCTGTTTTCTCAGTTTCTCTTTTGGCCAAGGACGTAAAACCCAAAACAACAACGTATGAGGAAGTACATCTTGGAATCCCATTCCATTTCTGCAAGTCACGAGGAGCCTATAAACTCTTGACTATGCTACATGCTTCTGTATACATCGGGGTATCACCGACTATTCTACACATTTTATTTCACTCCTATCTCGAACATGAATGCACTCAAACATACTACGACCGCAGGTTATAGTGCATGAAGACGAGGAAGTTTACACATTAAGAAATAGAGCAGAACATGCTAATGTACATATGATTCAGATATTTATCTCTGTGTTAGAGGTAATATAGAAAGAATCCCACGTCGTCAATAGGACGGGGACATTTTAGAGACTTAAAATCGATAGAAATACAGCATACATTGAGATAACACCGAACAAACCCAATAACAGGACGAGCGGGAAAATTCAAAACCAAATACAAACAGAATGAACATCTTCAAAACAACGGAAGTGAAAACATAACATTATCTGCCTAAATGATTGAGAAATCTAAACTATAGGAAAAAATAAGTGGCAAATTTAACACTACTTTTACTCCATATTTTTACAATATAACAAACAGTCTAAAACGATATGAAGAGATATATTACTATCAATGAAATATTCATAAATATGCAAAAGTAAGAATAATATGTTTTGGTCGGTACTGCATACAAGTTATTAGTAATTTACCTTATATGTATTTGTTTTTGACGCTAGTAATCCGTGTTTAATTTATAAAGAGATATTGCTTATATTGACTGAGTTTACACTGATATATATACACAGTAGTACATAAAAACAGAATATTAGTTCTTACTAACGACATATGCAGATGAGGAAAGCGTGAACAAGTCTAGAGGGTTGTTATCATTAAGCTCTCGGTTGCGTTCAACTTTGTTGTACATGTTTAAAATGTCCTTTACACAACTTTTATTTACGTACTTTATTAAATTGTATTATAATTCCGAAGCGTCAACACACAATAATAAATTGGAAAGACTCCATGACCCTATGTAAAAGAATGGGGCAATCAAATGCTGCAGAGCTTTAAGCGTCCCCACGCCATGTATGGCACTTGTCATGATGTCAAATCGAGTTAATTCAAGTTACATAGAAGTCGCAAGTTTAAAAATACCAATGTTTATTGTAACAATTGTGATATCTTCCTACAAAGAATATTTTCAGTATACAAACCCGAAGTAAGCTAAGAAAATATAATTGAGTAAAACAACAAGACTGTTGCGGCAAACTTATCCGGATATAACAATGTGATAGGTGTGCATACATCTTCATAATTACAACCATGTCACCATATAATGTGTTAAATATGACAATATAATTGCAAAATAAAGATTCATAGATAAAATAAAATACAATACATACCAACTTAAAAGCACTGAACATTAATAATAACTCTATACTCCGTATATCTAATCCACTCCCGATGATCCTTGTAAAACTTCCTTATGTTATAAGAGTGAGACCAATCAAAGAGTTGTCACTGGCAATGTATGCAGTTATATAAATATGCTAGTTATGATATATATCATTTTGAACAAAACTAAGTACTGAGTCTGACACTAATAACTTTTGTATGAGAAATAGTTGCTCTCCTTCCTGTCAGAAGCTACGATTATATGAGAAGTACTCCATTCCTTTATATGATTTGATGACTAATAAACAACACTTCCTCTTCCTACTGTCTGTTGTAACAAACACAAACCCGTCACAGTGTCCTCACAAATTACAAAAATAACACGTTTATAACTCATCAGGTTCAGTAATAGTTTTTTCTTCTTCTTTCAAAACAATTTAAAAATGGTTTGTCAGAATAAAACAAACGTGACTGGTGAAGGTTTCTTTATATAACTCCAATAAGTGTGTCCTGATATGATATGTTGCACAATAGTATAAGGATGAAAATGTCTGCTTTAAATAAGGACTGATCTATTGATAACCACAAGGCTTGCAAATTTTACCATAGACACGTATGTCAACGCAGGTTAAACAAAAATGTATTTCATACGCAAATCGATAACGATTTTCACTGATAGCACAGAAAAATACCAGGTGAGAACAAAAACTGGTGTTCCTTTCAGAAGGGTAAATGATTTCTGCTATATTGACTACCCCTGTGGTATAAATCTAGGTCAAATCCAAGTGAAGTTACGTTTTCATTACAAGGACAAAGGGAAGTGTCATATAATAGAAACCATCGCTATGCATACTAAACAGTGAAAAAGAGTTTTCCCAAACGCGGTAAAAACCTGCTAAGTATATAATTATATTGACGGAACGAGTACAATCTGCAGAAGTTCTTCAATCCATTGAGTTATCTAATTGAGATCAAAACTTTAAAAACATGTAAAAGTAAAAGTCGATGACAATAAATAGTCAACCCTTTATATATGTAATCAACACACTGGATATAATTATGTTCGAAATCCCCTTACCATCCACACATGACAGGCTGTTCTATCAGTTAAACATATATAATTTTCCACACACCTGCAGCCCGCATGACATCAGCACTGAATGGGGCCAATTTTAAAACACCGCAATTCAATAGATCTTGTTTTAGTGGTAGTGGTCTGGCCCCGTGGCATCGTTACACCATGGACATTTATTTTTGATAATTTCATCTTAGTTATTGGTATTTAGCTTGTTTATGGTTTTCTCTTCATAATATAAATAGAACTATAACCCTGCTAAAAAAACATCCAATGCATGTTGCGATCCTCAATGACATACTCACATTTTTCTCTGCAGTTAAATAAAAACATAATGACAGGCACCGAAAGAGGAAAAGGGAACGCTTCTCACTCTGGATGTATGAAAGAGGTCACGATTATGACAGAATCATTCAGGCATCTTAAAATGTTCTAAATAGACACAGAAAAAAAGGGAAATCCCCGTTTTCGTCCGTTATCAATCTATTTATAGATTCCATGTAATTTATCACTGCGAATCTCAAAACTACCTGGGTGAATCAATTTGGGGATCCTAGAAAGGATTTTCTGAGTATACATATTAAATGTTTTCTTTGAATAACAGTTAAGATGAATTAGTTCTGTATGGTTTGCTTGCTATGTTTTAATAAAAAAAAAAAAAAAACACTGAAAAAAACACCACGGTGACACCACAAAATATAGACTTTACGACATACATAAGGAAAGACCTTACGCCAAACAAAAGTATAAACTTTACAACATAAAAAAAAACATAAAGCATACCCAATACAAAGGTAACACAAATTTACAACATATAAAGCTTACCCCATTCAAAGGTATACATTTTATTACACAAATATTACGACATGTACAGTTATGACATTTACACACACACGCAAAATTGCATTCCATGTTAAAGCAAATATAACCACAAGTATGGGTAAGTAACTTCACGAGAGTGTCTTACATTTCATTGAAACAGGAAGCCCATATCGCTGTGCTCATTTCCCTCTAACATTAACATGTCCCCTATCACTGTACATATATACTAGTTCTCTACTTTGTATCGACTTTATCTTCAGGTATAAATCTAAAGCGTTCACATTAAGTACGTAAAGTGACTCTGACAATAACAAAGATTAGGTTTAATTCGTCTCCTTCCTCACCTTAAAGAATTATTTTCACATCAGTAGTTATAGAAAACTGAGCATAAAATGTCATTTTTCTCTGGTAGTTACTTTGTAATTATATTATTGTTATACTCTGCCTATTATAAATCAAAAGAGTTCATAGCTTATAGCCATAAAGAACCCCATGTCCGCCACCGTCTTTAATACTGAAATATCACCATCGTGAGGAATTCCATGAAGGTTTTAATTTAAACAAATATTACTTTTTAGTGCATGAAATTAAAAGTAACTGAATAATTTCAATTTAATACATTCATTCATTAAAATGTGTTTTTCTGTATCCTACAGAGAAAACTGCACTTATGTTAAAGAAGAAACGTAAGATTATATATAAAAAAATAATAAAGACTGCTTACTTTTTTTTCAAAGGAATCATCAAATCTTGACTACTTAAATATCCAGGGTTTAAACAATTGTATACATCAAAGAAAGAGATTAATATCATAATCAATTTTGTCTGAACGACAGGGAATCCGTGCAATACGATGTGAAACAACAAATAGCTATGCTAAGGACGTTTATTCCTCATGTTTCTTTGACATGAAATCCTGACTAAGTCTTGCACAATCCCATTTTCGCCCATTACGATTTATAATTGAACGAAACAGTACAAACTTCGGTTAAAATCGACATGGTAGAACTAATTATTGTTAGAAACTATACCAATCAGGGAATGGTCATCTAGGATTTCCTTACAATTCAAAATAACACAGTTGTTTATTCAAACCGAGTTACAGTTATGGTGTTGAAATGTCTCAAAACGCATTTACAATTAGGCAGGATCATGATTTAACATAACAAAAGAAATAAAAAAAAGAAAGGCAGCGGTAAATGTTTCTGCGAATTCGAGGCCGGGACAGCCATCTATAATTTGGGCATCGCCTACTACTGGTCTTACCCCGCCCATAAATATCCTATGAGACCAGTAACAAAACATCCATAGAGTTTATGATGTTGAATTTTGGTCTCATCTTGAATTTAATGAAACCTCACCGTAAAGTATTCAGGGGGCTATCGTCAATGTGGTATTATATGTTAAGGGATATATATAGACGAGTTTTCCCGAATATCGAATAGTAAAATGTTTGATTGAAGAGATCAAAATTGGTTTGTTACAATGTTGCCTTTACGCCATACTAATTTTTCATTATTCAAGTGTCTAGTACTTAAGTATTGTTTGACAAATTTTAGTCAGGGTAACGTTTGATAAACTGGCGATTTCAAAGCATGCTTGTTATAAGATGTAAATTGAATGAGTTTATTATCAATCCTTACCGGGATTTTACACAGGATTTTTAAACGAACCTAATTGTGACCCCTGAAACTGTTTTAATGGCTTCAGCTTGGATGTTATGTTAAGCCTGTAGTTTTTATTTGAGTTGTTAAGCATTTTATCGCAAATGCTATCATGAAATATGTGTTCAAAGGGGTCTAATGAGTTGACTATATAAAGTATAAAGATACTTCTGGCCATATACTGTAACAACTTTGCAGCTTATCTAGGAGATGCTTCGTTGAATATCTTTCTTCATTCCGTGTACCGTTTTCAGAAATAAATATGTGATGTTTCTGCAACATTCTTTGTCATTATGTTTTTCGTTATGATTGGTTTCTTGTTATATTTGCGGATGTCGCTGTAAGGCGATATCAAACCTTTGTTAATAGATAGCAACGGTGGCCTTGACATCTGACTACCGTGCATGTAGGTATATAGCAAGAGAGCAAGGCAAGCAACCAAAGCTGTTGACATTTGTCCTGACAAGTGACATCACTTTTCGAACAACCGTCTGATATCGGCAACATATTCAAGGCAACAACAAGAAAACAATGAAGGTCGTTTAACATCTACAATGAGCTCCTCTTCTTCTTCTTTTAAATTAAACGGGTGTCAATGAAAATCTCCCTAAGCAAAGCTTGCCTTTTATTGTATGCTTCCTACCTTAACTATTAGTCCTGGATCGTCCGTGGTATATATATATATATATATATAGAAATATTATAAAAAGAAAAATTCTCAACAACTAGTCTCGTTGTGGAGAATTTTTCTTTTTATAATATTTCTTCGATGATCAGTTGTCTACTTGAGGCATGATAAATTTCAAAATAGGCAATAGAAATGGCTGAAATGCACTTCCTTGTTGCTACCGTAGAGAGACGGAAGGTCCTGAAAATGATAAGAATGTCACTTGTAAGAATATAATATGGTAAATTCTACTCACCCCCATTATGCAGTATTGTCCTTATTCCATTTGCTTTGGTCTCGAGATTATTCCGTTTTCTTTGGTCGTTCAAGACAACAAAATCATTTACGCATCGATATCAACAGTAGTTTCATAAACACGTTTACAACGATGGCCATCTCAATCACACAGTGCGTTGTTTCCAATAGTCCTATTACCACTGTGTAATCGTCATATGACACGATTATAAAACAAGGAAGTAGGGAATACCCAGCGTTTATAAATAGACGTGATGTGCTACTAAATGAAGGTAAGTAACTCTTACTTGTTGATTTGACTACAAAACTCTAACTTCATCGTAAGTAGACTCGTTGAGATACAATTTTGTCTCTCTACTAAATAAAACCGGTTAGGCTGAGTCAAACATCAACAAAAGAGTATAAAACAGAAAACGAGAGTATAAAAAAGAAAACGAGAGCATAAAACGGAAAACAAATAACCGTTATAAACCAAATGTTTTCAGTTAAGAACTGATACATTGTAACAATGATAACTCTAATCCTCGCGTGGAATCATTATAGTAACGGTTGTCTTGTGATCTGATTTCCACCAGCTGTAAGTATTTCCGATCATTTTGTTACACTTATTTGTGATTTCCGTGTTGACCTCTCGGCGAGATGACGAAAATGAAGTATGACATGTCATTACTAAACGTTCAACCTCTTATGCTTGTGTTTAATCTGAGCGTCTTGTATCAAAACAATAACCATAAGACAATTGAGTCAATGTAAGATATTTGTGTTTCTTCGGTAAACATATACTT